ATCTGGGACTAATGGAGTTGTGTACCAAATAATTGATACCTTCCATTCCACCTTCTACCTCAATACATATTTTACTCCCAGCATTCCAAATTTCACCACAGCGTCACTGTCATTTCCAGCCATCCCATCGTCAATGCCTGACACGTACTTTACCCCAACGACTTCCTTGTATTTCTCTGCATCCAATGGCGTGGGTGCAACAGACTGGGACATGAATCTTGTTAGATTCGGCCACTTCGGCTTGTTCAACTCAAGCACACCAGGCATCAGCAAACCAGGTGCTCACAATTTTTCTTTTCTCAATGAATTTAGTACACTTACTTCCAGTGGCACCACAACTCCCCCCTTTTACAGTCATGGCCCCATTTATGGTCAGACCATGCCCTTTGACCCACCGTCTTCGACCACACTATTGATTTCTTAATGGATTCGACTGGGATTCCTGAACTTGACACCCTCTTTAATAATTCCCTGTCACCTGATCACCCTGCATTACCTCCCATGCCAGTCTCATCACCACCTTCCTCAATTCCTGCTCTGGTCACTGTGCCCACTGTACAGCCCGAGAAGCGTAGGGCAAGGGATGAAGTCAACAAGGTGAATATCGTTGATGGCACCTGAGCTCGGAAGCGACCAAAGTGTGCAGACTCCAAGGGATAGATTTTCAGCTCTAGATTTGCAGCTGAGATAGATTTGCTCATTTGTTTGTGTTCCATCTGTAGCTTCATATGAGTTCAGACATTTGCTTCAATTCCTCATAATTAGTTCACACACTATATGCTTACAGTCTTCTAATCCACATTCTATAACATTCACTTAGTCTGTAGCTTAGGCTGACTGACTTTGAATTAACAATGGTTGAATGAGATCAATCACCTAAGGGATTTAAATTGCATAGTTCTCTTGGGATTATATGCTAATGAGTTCTGTGGGACAAAAACTTGACCCCAAGTAGGCATTTGGATATACAGTTGACTATCTCAAAAAAATCCATGATTTCAAAATGCATAAATCTAACTTTGCTTAGGGTTCAGGTGGAACCAGCTTGGGAGGCACAGAATTTTGCTGGAAATGCATATTGCATATTGCATACAGATTTTGAGCCCAATATGTCCCCAAATTTGGGTGTGCTGGATCAAATCAGCAACACAAATTTGGTTCGACTTGCCACAATTCTCAACATCTTGGCCCCATGGATTAAATCACATTGCCTTTTTTACATTCAGATGATTTAATTGGGCCACTGCATATTTTCCTTGATGTATGAAGCACTAAAAATGACACCAGTACCGCCAAAAATGACGGATGTCACCTTGTAGGATGTCATGTGATCCTTCTGTAGTTGCATAATTCTAGTAATGCATACAGTTTGGTGTCTCTCAACTGTATGCATTGTGAGATAGTCAACTGTATCAACACCTAGTCAACATCGCGAACTATGTTGTCGGCATTTCCTGAGTCATGTGACCATGTGCCGCACTTTAGAGGACATGTCACACTTGATGTGCCGCACTTGAAAACAATGTGTCGCACTTGACAACAATGTGTCACACTTACAGTACAAGTGCTGCAGATTGAGCACGTATGTCGCACTCTGTATGTGTTGTGTATGCCGCATCTGATCAATTCCAAAACTGCTGAGACACAGTTCAAGTTGAAACACTTCATTTCCTGTGCAATTATTCCTCAATCCTTTGTACGGTAGCTGGTTCCTGGCTCAAGATGAAGTCATACAGCGCCTCTCATGTGCACGGGCACTCTGAAACAGTTTAATCAAGGAATCAACCGCATCCCATTCTTCTTCCAGGCCCTCTCTGCCACGCACCGATTCCAACTTCAGGAAGGTGGTGTCCAAAAACTGCACAATCGCCTGGGTTTTACAAGTAGTGAGATTCCCATGTCTGTTGTGAATGATGATATTCTTGAGGCCGTGCGCAGAGACAGAAGGTGTTTCATTCCCGATGTCTCTGCGCAGGTCTAGAGATATTTCCAGCTGCACCAGTGGAGGACAGTGATCAGCGAACTGGGTCAAACAATTAATGGAAGGGAGTGCTGGATTATTCCAGTCTCTTTCCCATGAAATATCCATCCCCAGGATTTCGATACTCGGACACCCGAAAGCTAAAGTAATGATATCCTGCTCTTCCATGTCCATCAACGGCCAGCTGAGCAGACGGAATTCATGAAGATTCTGGATGGAACAAAATCTTTGGAAGAGGTACATGAATCCCGCAGATCTGTGATGATTCCCGATATCAACGACTATACGTTCCAAAGACGAGTCCCATCGACCCGAGATGAGGTCGAAAAGTGATCGCCACTGTGCAACTATCTCCTCTTCCGTCGTTTGCCCAAACCTCCAGTTCGGCTCAGACTTGAAAGACAGAGTGATATCCTGCAGCTGTGATGTTCCAAGCCCAGAGATAAGTTCGTATATGAAGTGAAATCCTCCCGAGATCTCTAATCTGTTCAACACCGGGAATTCGCCGAATGGACCATTGGGTGCATCATCTAGTGCTGGGACGTCCCGCAGAACGAGGGTCGTGATATGCGTAGATTCAGACATCGTCTTTAAAATCTCTACAAATGGCTTGAACTCGATGGATTGGTCGATATCCCCGATCTCCAACCTCTGGAGATTGTGGAATCGGGGAATGAGGTCGAAGAGGATCAATGGAAATATTCCCTCCAAGACCAAATTGTCGAGCGCCAGGGGAGCAGAATGAGCAGCTACTGAAAGAAACGTGGTGAAGACAACACCATCGCGAATCGTCTCATCCGACTCAAAGTGCACGTAATGGAGAGTTGGAGCCAGCAGAAGGATGATTGATGGACCAAGGTGTGCGGTCGAAGCTACGTGTTATATACCGAGCTGGGGAACCGAGGACTGGAGGACCGGAGGATAGTCCGGGGCTGTATAAGGAGCGATCACAACACCACAGGAGGGTAAGGGTGAGTGACTACCTTGACCGGCAGGTAATCCGATGGAGGGGACAAAGGTCGGAGTACCGGAGAGGAGAGTGTGGAGGCGACTCAGTGCGAGGAGAAGAGCCAAGCAACGTTAATTATCAATCTGATGTACAAGATGTATTAAAGTGCTATATATACTAAGTAGCTAATTGTATTCCCAAATAGGAAGGAGGGTGGTTCTTGACAATAAGACAAGTCCTCCTGACTGATGGTAAGTCGTAGGACAATAAGGAAGAAGACGAGAAGACGGATAAACGGGAAACGCTCAGTAATCCTTCATTGCGTAAAAACCCGATTCGTCCGGATGACTGGGTGGCTCCGGTCAAAGACCGGAGCCCGGAGATGACCGGAGGTGCCGGAAGGGTCGGAAGGCAGTCGGTCGAAGGAGGCAGGCTGCATGGATATAACACGGCGTGAAGACGCCAGAGGAGCAGCAGCATGGGTTCACAATGTTCCTGGGCGATACGTATGAACACCGAGGTATCAATTGGGATATTCTCTGAGCTTGTGCATTGGATAGAACACACTCTACCGGTGTGGTAGTCAAACCGAATGAAATCCGCTGCATTCAGGGGACCAAGTAGCGTCTGTAAATTCAAATGGGTCAGGATATTGCGCCGCTTGATATCGGCTAATCAGACGCATGTAGACCCCATTTACCATTGTGAACGAGGGCAGGAGTTTAAGAAGAGGAACAAGACTGGTGAGATTGCCCCCCAGAAAATCCAGCGCAGGCTCGCTAAGTGCTTTGCAAGTGAGCACGATGTCAACTAGAGGATTCTTGCTGACCAAACGATTTGGCCCAAATCTCGCTGCGATGGATTGGACTGGGGCGGTGTTGGGTTTGTGTCTGACATCAGGGCCAAGATCGAGCCTGTGTTGAAGGACCTGGCAGAGGAGATCAATGTTTCCGAGGCACTCGAGTGCAAATGTGCTTGCAGCAGGGATCGGCGTTGGCGATGCCATTGGTGAAGGCAAAGATGAGTTCCAAGCGCCAAAAGGCCTTGTGGTCGACACGATGCTTCTTTGGTCACAGGCTAAGAATACTCAGGCTCTTTAAATACATACATGGGTGGAAGGAGAGCGGGTTCGCATACACAGGCTCGTCAGCGTCTATGCAACTTCCCTTGCACAGGGTACATGCCAGGTAAATTTACATTCTGAACTTCACTGTTTGAACCCATCAAGCTGAGACATGCCATTGGTGTCCCAGGTACTTAACATCCCCCGTATCTGTTTCCGATGTTCCACCGGCTGGTGCTAAGCATAATCAGTCGATGGAGGAGGATGATTAGACCCCTTAACCAATGATAATTTTCACATTTTTTTCAATGACATTCGCCTCCCCACTGGTGCATGAGGATTGTCTGGTATTTTTTTAAAGGAATCAGACATCCTGCAAGCTGCTGAATTGTTATTGCAATCCATCCGTATCAAAAGGAGTAATTACGTGCACCAGTGGTGTACATACGGAACACTGGAGATGGCCTGAGTGGTGGGGGCAAGGCAGAACAAGCAAGATGAATATGGATAGCATAGGTCTAAGACAGGAAAAGCAATGCTGACTAATCTAGTGGCTATGCATACCGTGGAGCGGCTGCAACACACACTGTCCTCATGCCTCGGACATGAACTGGATTATGGTGGGATGGGGTACAACTCCCCGCTGGTGCATTGAATGCATTGTTCCAATTTTTTTCTCTCTTTTCAAATGCTGCGGCAGAGTGGAATTCGAACCAAAGGGGGGAAAAAGATGTCTGACTTGAGTAACTGTACTTTATTCTGATTTTTATTCTGATTTTTATTTTTATCAGGTCCAGTCAGCTGTTCAATTGTACTCCATGGTAGGAGTACATGCACCAGTGGTGTGCGGAACACCCGCCATCCTTGTGTGGCCACTTGGAAACAGTTCTGGTGTGATCAGGGTTCGACTCCCAGCTGGTGCATGTGTGGGCCTCAATTTTTTAAGAACCAGATGTCCTGCAAGCTGCTGGGTTGTACTCCATCCATATCAGAAGGAGTCCTGACATGTGCCAGTGGTGTACGGAACACACACCATCCTTGTGCCTTGAAATTGCTCTGCGTTATGGGGTGATCGGGGTTCGACTCCCCGCTGGTGCATTGAATGTTTCGTTCCATTTTTTAAATTCTTTTTTCCAATGCTGCGGCAGAGTGGAATTCGAACCAAAGGGAAAATTATATGCTCCTGCGACAAGACTTGTATTCTGATTTTTATTTTTTAGGGAGCAGGCACTCTGTCCATCACAGAAGGACCGCTGGTGGTGTGCGGAACACCCCATTGCCTTGGGCAGAGGTTGGATGTTGGATGTTTAGGTGGTCGGGGTTCGACTCAGTCAGTGCATAAGCAACATACATGTTTTAAGAATCACCTTCCCAACTCCATCTGTATCAGAACGAGTACTTGTATGCACCGGTGGTGTATGGAACACACACTATCCTCATATCCAGAAATTGTTCTGCATTATGGTGCAATCGGGGTTCGACTCCCTGCTGGTGCACTATTTTGAAGGGGGGGTTTTTTTTCTTTCTTTTTTTCCTTTTCTAGACTGTGAAGGGAAAAAGTCACCTGGCTCGGCGTGCTTGGCTCACTCGGCGGTTCCCACCTCCATTCATCCGGCGGTCCAATCCCTGTGCGACTTGGCTTTGTGAAATTGAAATTCGCTCGTGCGATTAGATCGGGCTCGAGCGGGGTTTCCTTTTTGCGCTGAATTCATCAATGGCATCAGGCAACGAAGTACTTGAGCTGAGTGAGGGATGGGGGCAGCACGGAAATGAATACGCGTACGTGCGATCCAGTTGTGTTTGCTGGATAGTGAGATTCGAGCAGTGAGTGAGTAGGATGCGTTTTCACCGATTGTTCGCAAGCAAGTGGGGTAATTGCATTTGGGACGGAGATCCCGACGGCTGTTGACGTGCACCGTCGGGTGTGGGGTTAGTCATCCAAGTGCGCGGCCAGGTGATCTGATCAGCAATTGGAATTCGAAGTCGGGCTTCCAATCCCGAAATTCGGACTATTAAGGTGACAGGTGTGTGAGCAATGTGTGAAACCAGCGAGGTGGTTTTGTTTCTACTGCGGTAGGCTGTGGTCGTGTGCTCTAGCGAGGGCTAGGCTGGCGTGGCGTTGGATGCTTATCAGTCGGAGGAGAACTGCGGCCAGGGCGGAGGAGAACTGCGGCCAGGGCGACGTCGCGTCGCGGGTAGCAGCCGCAATGTCTCAGGTTTTACGTCATCGCTGATCGAGAATCGGCAAGGATGACGCAGAACCTTGATAGCTTGGTTTATTTCTTTGCCTCCCGCCTGTTTCCTTTCCCCATGTCGTCGTCCAACGACGACGAGTACGCCGCCGCCCACCACGACACCAAGAAGCGCCGCATCCAGCGTGCATGCGACGCCTGCCGCCGCCGCAAGAGCCGCTGCGACGGCTCCCAGGACCCAGGCGACAAGTGCTCTACATGCCAGGAAAGTGGCCTCGACTGCACCTACCGCGAGGGCACCACAAAGCGCGCCCCCGCCCGCAGCTACGTCGCCGCGCTCGAGGCCCGCCTCGAGCGCGCAGAGGCGACCGTGCGCACCCTGCGTGCCGCCGCCGCCGCATCTCCCTCGTCCGCCATGTCTCCCTCAACCCTCGACGCCTCGTCCCACTCACCCTCCCCGCCCGCCCTCACCACCAGCACCACCGCGGACGACTCCGACACGCCCCCGCGCGGGGCCTCGCTCGCGCTCCTCCGCCACGCGCTGCAGTCGCTCTCGCGCCCGCCGCCGCCCCCGCACGCAGACGACCTCGTGCACACCGAGATCGCGCGCAACCTCGAGCGGCTGGCCGTGGGCGCCGCGCCGGCGCGGCGCTTCATGGGGAAGAGCAGCGGCGCGGTGCTGGTGAAGGCGGCGATCGACATGAAGGCGGGGTATGCGCGCGCGAGTGGGGGTGCGACGGGGGCGGGGGCGGGGAGGAGCAGGAGCAGAAGTGCGAGTGGGGCGGAGGACGAGGCGTCTGGGTGGGAGGGCGCGTGGACGAGCCGCCGGCTGCAGTATTGGAACTTCAAGCCCGTGCGTGTCCATATATCTCCGCATTTCCCCACAACCTATCCTATCCGACCCCATCTCCCCCTTGTCCGCCCCGTGCCCTCCTACTACACCCCACCTCTTTCTTACTACACGAACCACTGACGCCATTACACAAACCCACAGTGGGAACAGCCCCCCTCCCCCGCCTCCGGCCGCACCGCATACACCTTCCCCCCCGCGCCCCTCCTCTTCTCGCTCATCGCGCTGTACTTCGAGCACACGAACGCGTACCTGCCCCTGCTCCACCGGCCGAGCTTCGAGCGCGACGTGCGGGAGGGCCGCCACGAGCGGCGCGGGGAGGAGGGGTTCGGGGGGACCGTGTTGATGGTGCGTGGACCCGGCGCGCAGCAGCGGGGTGTCGAACGTGCTGACCCCTCCCGCAGGTATGCGCCGTCGGCAGCCGGTGGAGCGACGACCCGCGCGTGGTGGGCGCGGGGCTGGGGCCGGGCGCGAGCGGGTACAACGCCGCTGCGGGGGGGTACGGCGCCGCCGCGTCCGCTGGGTATGGCGCCGCGTCTGGTGGGTATGGCGCCGCTTCTAGTGGGTACGGCGCCGCTTCTGGTGGGTATAGCGCCGCTGCGGGGGGCTATAGCACGCCGATGAACGTTAACGCGAACGCGGGTGGGTACACCGCGGCGCCCGCGAACGCGAATGGGTATAGCACGGGCGCGTCCGCGGGTGGGTACAGCGCGGATGGGTATAGCTCGAACGCGAGCGGGTATAGTACGGCGCCCGCGAACGGGTACAACAGCAGCGGCGGGGGGCACGGGATGGGCAAGCTCGCGTGCGGGTGGGAGTGGTTCGACCAGGTGCGTTTGCGATTCTCCTTTCAGATGTCCGAAAGGTTTTCTTCGTCGAATGTGCGAAGAGCTGTTGTTTTGGTGGACGGGTGCAGGGGCGTGTCTGGTATCGCGCTCCTCCGTCGTCCATTCCCTTTCGATTGCTATTCCCCAACTGTTGCTTCACGCCACTGTCGCTGACGCGCTGTCCAGGTCCCCCTCGTCGGGAAACACCTCTTCGGGCAGGCGACGCTGTACGATCTGCAGTATTATTGTGTGCGTCGTCTTTTCTTCTTCTTCTTCTTCTGCTTTTCCGGCTTTCCTCTCTTCGTCAAATGCCGGTGTCGTGTCCACCCCGCATCTACGCGTTTGTCGATATTCATCCACACGCGTCCCCTGCCCCTTGTCCAACCCACACCCTGTTTCCCGGCGTTCATCCCAACCCCGTGGTCCGGGTATTATTGTCAATCGCGTTGCATATTTTCTCTGCGTCCCCTGCCCTTCCACCACCGTGCACGCCCTCCCATCTCATTCCATCCACCGCTCTGACCGCATTGCGTCCCTCGCCCTTGACGTTGAAGTGGAACGCCACCTCGGACGAAGGGAAGGTCCATTTCAACCCCAGTGCTTCTGTCGTGTGTGTTACATCGCCCTTGTCTTTTCACCCACACAATCACATCGCGCGCCCATCAGTTCCGCTTCCCTTCTTTTCACAAGCCCTTTCCCTCTCATAACGCTCAACGCTGACCCCATCCTCCCCAGCTCGCCGTGCAGTTCCTCGACGGCTCGTCCGCGCCGCAGGCGTGCTGGACGCTGATCGGCGTCGGGCTGCGGCTGGCGCTGGTGCGCCGCCCCACGCTCTATTCGTGTTCTCCGCCGACCGCTGACCCCGCAGGACGTCGGCGCGCACCGCCGCAAGCACACCGTCGAGGCGCCGGCGCGCGACGCGGAGCTGTGGAAGCGCGCGTTCTGGGTGCTCGTGTACATGGACCGCTTCGTGAGCGCGGGGATGGGCCGCCCGTGCGCGATTCAGTATGACGAGTGCGTTCCTCCCGCCTTTTCTTGGGGTTGGAAGTTCAGACACTCGACTCGACACGCAGCTTCGACGTCGACCCGCCGCTCGAGGTCGACGACGAGTACTGGGAGGACGCGGCGCGCCCGTTCGAGCAGCCGCCCGGCGTGCCCTCGCGCGTCGCGTTCTTCAACTGCCTCCTCAGGCTGAACCATATCCTCGGGTTCAGCTTGAAGCTGTTGGTGTGTGTCTCCCGTCTCCCGCCGCTTGAAGCGGGGTGGGGGCAGAAAACGACAGATGCTGACGCGGATATAGTACTCGCTCAACAAGACCAAGGTCGTGTTGGCGATCGACGACGCGTGGGAGGAGCACATCGTCGCGGAGCTCGACTCGGTGCTCAATCGGTGGAGGGACGAGGTCCCGGAGCATCGTGCGTCGCGGTTTTTTTGCGCCCCATTCCCTGACTATCTGCTGATCTCAGCTTCTGTTGTTCTTCCTCCCATTGTCCGCCCACTCCGTCTCGTCAACGCAACCTACCTCGTCGAACTCAACCTACCTCTCCAAACGCAACGTACCTCGTCGAACGCAACCTGCCTCGTCGAACGCGACCCACATCCACGCGGACAGTGCGCTGGGACCCGAACCGCGCGGACCCCCTGTTCTTCGACCAGTCCGTCGCGCTGCACTGCAGCTACTACCACCTGCAGATCCTCATCCACCGCCCGTTCATCCCGATGGTGCGCAAGTCGGCGCCGACGGTGCGTGTTTCTGGCGTTCTCCATGCACATCAGCTCTTTTGTATTCTTCGTACTGCCTGGCACTGACGATAAAATACTCCCCACACAGGCCCTGCCGTCGCTCGCGATCTGCACCAGCGCCGCGCGCGCGTGCGCGAACGTGGTGGATATACAGCGGCAGCGTAAGGGACGGGTGCCCGTTGTGCTTAACCTGGTGCGTCGTCCTGCTCTCTTACTGACATGATTGTTCTGTCGTTGAACTACGCTGTGCCAGCCGGCGGTATTTACGTCGGGCATCGTGCTGCTGCTGAACGTGTGGAGCGGAAAGCGCACCGGGCTCGTGCCGGATCCGAGCCGCGAGATTGCGAATGTGCATAAATGCATGGAGGTGGTGCGTGTGTGCGAAGAGCGGTGGGCATTCATTCACCTGCGCGTCGGAGTTGGGTGGCTGATGTTTTTATGTGCTAGGTGGCAGTCTGCGGGGCTGTTGTGGTGCGTCTGATACAACTCCCTATTCAATGATACAGGGTAAAATTAATCAACCTGCGCAGGGACATCCTCTTCGAGCTCGCCTCCGTTGGGCAGCTCCCGCTCCCGGATCCCGCCGCGTCCCCGGGGGGCACTAGTGTAGATTCACAGCAGCAGCAGCAGCAGCAGCCGCATCAACAGCAGCGCACCCCCCACCCCTCCGCGACCCCGCCGCCCATCCGTCCAAAGCCCAAAGCGGCGACGCTCGGCCCGCTCAACAAGGGCGCGCGCTACCCGCGCTGCCACATCGACCCGATGCCCGCCGCGGACACTGCGCGCATCCTGCTCGGCGCGCACGGGCTCAAGCAGACGTTCGAGCGGCCCGTCGGTGACGTGCAGTTCCGCGCGCCGTATGCCAACGCGCAGCAGCAGCAGCA